AAGGTTCCTTTCGAACTCAAACCTTTCTATGATAACCTCAGAACTGCTCCAGAGTGATGCCAGCACCATCCTCACGTGCTGCCCTGTCTCACTTATGGGCTCAGGGAAGTCACTGATGACTGGCAGCACAGAGCACTGTACTAAAGACAAATTAACATACAAGCACAGGTTGTGTCTGTGCTCCTGCATGGCCAGGCTGGAATTCCAAGTTCTTTGTTGGAAGCACACAGACCCAGACCACAGGATGTGGGGTTTCTGCTCACGGATGTTCCCATGCAGCCCCTTGTGTCTGTTTGGGGAAGCTGAAGGCCACATGGCTCTTCATCATCACTGGGGAGATGCGTCTCATTCTTCCCCTTCTCTTCCTTCTTCTCACACGGTGCTGTTCCCAGTGTTGTCCTAGAAGACTTTGTGACAGCAGAAGCTGCCCTGAAGGACATGAAAGGGCAAAACAATCATTTCTGGTCAATGAACTTCTGTAACTTATTGCAGATTGGGTAATTCATGGAAGTTGGGTGATTTATTACAGAGGATGCGGGCGCAGCCCATCTGCTGGCTGTGACGTTGGGTGGCTTTGACTTGGGCTTGGTGCTGTGTTGGGTTTGTGCTGGGCGAGAGGATGCAAGGAGGGGAGATGCTGGGGCTGCACAGACAGTCCCCAAAACCTCACCATGCTGTGAGCATCGGGCCTGCACTGTGTGTATCTGTACGCAAACACTGAATGTTATGTGTGCCCAATGCAGTTTGCTACAAATCCTCTCCCGAACAGGACAGAAATAGCACTGCAGAGCAAGGTGGGTTGTAACGTGCTAATTTATTTATATTAATACAAGATCTTGCAGTTTTATATTGTTCTATTGGAGGGCTCATGTTCTCCGTAGCATTTTGCATAATGTGACTCTTGCATTTCCAAAGGAGCAGCTTATCCTTAAGGACATAAATACAGCCGTGGGGAGGCAGCCATAGCTCTTCAGTTGCTGTCTCACTGTGCTCATTAGAATGGGGAATTGGTTCTCCATTCATGAGCAGCAAAAAGCTGGTGGGAGATCGTACCTACTAATCATCAGGCTATTTGTAAATCTTCTATTAAGCACGTGTGAGCCAGCTGATTAATGGCACCGTTGGAAGTTAGGGCCATGCAGCTGTATCAGCCAGCTGATACAAGATGGGATGTCTGGAGGTTGTTGGCCGTGTGGTTTTTCCTGTTGGACCACCAAAAAGCTTTGAGTACCTGCAGTCACCATACAGCATTCAGGGGCACTGACAGCACTGTAACACTGGGGTGAAATCGGTGCTATACAGAGGGAATGGGAATCATAGAACCACCAAGGTTGGAAAAGAACTCCGAGGTCACCCAATCCAACCATCCATCTATCACCAATATTTCCCACTGAACCATGACCCTCAGAGGGATGGTGACTCTACCACCTCCTGGGTAGCTGTGGCCTGGGCTGTGTGTGTGATTATCTGCTCCCAGGGAGGAGTGGCACATCCCAGGGGGTGGGAGGCTGCTCAGCATCGCCCTCCCTCGAGAAAGAAGAACGAAGTAATAGTCCAGGGCATTAGACATGAATGTAATCCAAACAAATGTTCCCCTTTCCAGGGAGATTTCTAGTATTAACCGATTAAAATATAATCTTTTTTTTTTTTTTTTCTTCTTCTTTCTTGCTAGATTTAAACCCTGGGAAGCTTTAGCTTGGCTTAGAGAGGAGCTAAACCCATAACTCCTAGTAAATCGCTAGCAAATAAAGATAAAATCCTGTGGTGCCCCATGTAATTCCAGCTGGGTGGGTGGGAGCAAGTCTGTGTCCCTGTTTTATGGGGTGGGGGTCAGCAGGCAGCATGGGGTGTGCGTACTGATAACTGCATGGGGCCGTGGGAAGAGAGGAATGCATTGGGATGGACCGGCCACGGCTTCCTGCCCGCTGCTCACCCGTATGGCTCACTTCCTTCCCATGGAGGTGGGGATGTGCCCCCCCACATCCTGTGGTTATGTCTGAGGATGTTTCCCCCACGTGGGGATGGCTGTGGGAGGGCTGGGGATGTGCAGGACTCAGACATGACGCCTTTTCCCCCAGCACTGGTGTCACCAAGTGATTGCCCCTTCATTTCTCAGAGGTCTTTTCCAACCTTAGTGATTCTATCATAACTGATGACGTCCTGGTGATTGACTACAGGATGGGCAGTGCGCCTGGTAAAGCCACTTTTCCCTTCTTTTTGGGTAGCACAGCATCTCCCCACACCCCGAACCCTCTGCAGAGCATCCAGGGGGAGCAACAGGAGAGAGGGCTCAGGCTGTGGGTTTCCCTTGTGATGTGCCCAGTGGCTGACATTGGAGACGAGGTGCACATGGTGCTGTTCTGAGCTCACTGTGAGTATTTTTCCATGCCAAGCCCAAGGTGTGTGCTGTGCTGAAAGTGAATGTTTAAATGCTGATGTTTGGGAAGCCCCACCTCAGTGAAGGGAATGCTTTGTAGATGCAGAAGGAAGCCTTGTTTGGGTCATTTGGTGCACTTGCCCTTCATTTTTGAACCTTATCCCATGAGTTCCCATAGCTCTTTTCCTACCACCTCCATTTCCACTCCTGGTGAAGCTGCAGACTGCTGTTATCTCCCCCTGCATGCACTCCAGCGTGGAGGAGGAGCCAGCAGAGCTGTTTTCCCACAAAGGCCGATTTTTCTGCAGGCACATCTGGTGCAGGAATCCAAGCTGGGAGCAAGTGCCTCTGCAGTCATTTACATTCTGGAACCTCACAGCTGGCTGCGAGGAGGAGCAGGCAATAGCTGGTACTGCAGAATAAAGCCATGTTGCGTTTAGGATCCTCGAGCTGTGAGCTCATCTCTGGGCAGTGTTGGCATGGGGGGGCAGTGGCCATTTCGGGGGTGAGCCGTGCCCAACAGAAGGCAGGGCTGGAGTGTGGGAGCAGCTGTGTTCTCACAGCCAGCAGTGCCCCCAGACACTTGCAGGTGGGGCTGTCAGCCCCTGGAAGGTGAGTCCAAACTGAGGTAATGGAGCTCAGTGAGGACCCAGCACCCACAGGCTGTGAAGGCAGAGAATCACTAACTTGTTCCTCCGTTCTTTGCAGTTTTCCCTATTGAAACTTTTACAATAGAAAGCAAAGTGTGGGTTTGGTTCCCCCACGTGCATCTGGCCTGAGCTTGTGGGAGATGTTTGCTATCTTATAGCGCTATTTTGGAGAGGCAATGGAGCCATCTGCAAAGGGCAGCAAGCCATCGTCTTGCAGAAAACCTCTGCAGAGCAATCAAAGAGCCATGGAATGGTTGTGTTGGAAAGGGCATCAAAGATCACAGAGCCAATGGAATGGTTGGGTTGGAAGGGACCTGAAAGCTAATAGAGCCATAGAATGGTTGGGTTGGAAGGGGCCTGAAAGCTAATAGAGCCATAGAATGGAATAGAGCCATAGAATGGTTGGGTTGGAAGGGGCCTGAAAGCTAATAGAGCCATAGAATGGTTGGATTTCCAGGGGCTATAAGGAAGATGGAACTCCAGAATGGTTGAGTTAGAAGTGGCCTCAAAGCTCGTAGAGCTGTAGAATAGTTGGATTTCAAGGGGCCCTAAAGATGATAGAACTGTGGAATGATCAGGTTGGAAGGAACCGGCTGAGGTTGCTCAAAGCCCCATCCAACCCAGGGATGATAAGGGCACTCATTGGGTGTTTGAACCCCGCAGGCCTTGGGGCAGTTCGGCTTCGGGTGTTCCGTGCTGGCTCCGCGTGCCACGGGCGGCCCCGGCTGTGCGCTGCGGGAGGCGCTGCGGGGCCGCGCGGTGCGGGAAGCAGCCGAGTCCCGCGCCCCCCCCTCCTCTTCCAGCCCCCCCCCGCGCCCGGCGGAGCAGGCGGGGCCGGGCGGCAGCGTCCATCTTAGCGGCCGCGGGATGCTCGGAGATGGTCCTGCAGGAAAACTGCGCCTACCGGGTGAGGGGCTGCGGAGCGGGCCGGGGAGAGGACGCGGGTTTGTTGTGGCGGGTTTGGTTTTGGTTTTTTTTTCTATAAGGATTTGCGGGAGGCGCGGGGAAACGGAGCCGCGGGGAGCGCTCTTCGGCAGCCTTTGTGGAGGAGCCGCGGTCGGGCCGGGCTTTGTGCTCGCCATGTGATGCTCGCAGCCGCAGTGAGAGCCGCGGTGGGGCTGAGCGGAGCGGCACAGCTCGGGGATGCTCCGGCCCCGCCGTCAGCCCGCCCCGCAACGCGCCCGCAGCCCCGCCGCAGATGAAGCTGCTCCGGGTGAGTGCGTGCGATCCGCCGGCCCCGCACGTCCGAATCTCTGCGGGAGAGCCGACCCAGAAGAGAACGATTTCTAAACGCGTTACGTTGCGCTGCTCAATGAGGAACGGGGCTGCGCTGGGGTGCTGGACCTCCCCGAGCATCCACCCACTCCTCCGGGGCAGCACCATCCCGAGCTGCCGGCATCGCCTCGTCGGGCAACGGGGGCCCGGCATCCCGCTGTGGATGCGGCACCTGCAGCTGTGCTTTGGTGCCATGCAGGCATTGGGTTGGTGCTTGGGCTCGATGGGCTCAGAGCTCTTTGCTAAGCTGAATGACTCGATGACTCTAGGATTCTTGTTGTGCTTTCGTTGCTGTGTACCGTGGGGGTCGGTGCTGCTGTGGGTGCACCTGCTCAGGGAAGGGCAGCGTTTGGGGCTGGGTTGGTCCATCTGAGCATCCCCTGCTCTACAGCAGCACTCAGCAGTGCGTACGTGCGGTGCAGGGCGTGTTGCAGAACGGCCCAGCAGCAGAGCTGGGCCTTGGGAGAGGGGCTGTGCAAGGCAGCAGCTCAGCTGCGGCGTTCCTCTGAAGTCAGGCTTCATCTTAAGGCTAAACATCTCTTACTGCTAAAGATATCGTGGAGGGAAATGATATCAGTGCATATATCTGTATATAGGGATAATTCAGCTGGTTTTTTAGTGGATGCTTTCATTGCAGCAAGTGCTTCTGGAAATGGATTTCCCTTTTTAGGTCCTTTGGAAAAAAAAAGAAAAAAGCTGTTTTTTTGATCTCTGCTGGAGGGAAGCTGGTTGTTCTGCAGCTACAAGCCTGTTGCTCTCCTGTCGTTATAAATGGGGCCATTGTTTGTGGGCAGTGGATGTTTTCCTGGCATGTTTGCTGAGATGCTGCGGATCTCGGGGCAGTGGGCACACAGTGCCCTGTGGGCAGTGCCTGGTGCATGGGAAGCAGTGCCTGGTGCTGGCCTGGCAGCATCCCCACGCGCTGATGCCCCGGTTTCATTGCACTGCAGCAGTGCTGCTGCATTTGATCTGCTTCAATTGAGCTGCTTGTTTATGAGCCGGTCTCTCTCCTCCAGAACAGTAAATATGAAGACAGAAAGAGGCAGAAGGAATGCAGATCCTGGGGAAGCAGCAGCTCAGTTCAGTCTGTCTCACAACCTTCCTACCCCCGCTGGCCCATTAGCCCAAAAGCCAAACATGAATCATGGGTTGTGGTTCCATCTGGGAGCCAGCAGAGCCGGGGATGGGGCAGCCATGGCTGCCTCTGCTCCTCACATCCCTGCTCAAACGGCTCACTGCAGCTCCTGGGGAGTTAGGAGAGCTGCAGAGCAAACAGAGGAGTGAGCTAGCGTGTGGAGAGAGGCTGGGGACATGTTTGCCTTAGGGAAATTCAGCAGAAAAGCTCTGACCCGAGCGCCGCAGAGGGTGGTGGCCTGGGAACCTGCTGCCCTTGCGCTCTTCCCTTTGCTCTCCTTTGGGTTCTCTGTGCTCAGGAGGCTCTGGGCTCTGCCCTGAGGCTGCCTGCATGCTCCATGGCCGGGCACTGCCAGCCCTACCAGGGGTCTGCCTCCATCAATGGGGAATTCCTAAAATCTGATAGAGGAATGCCCTTTGGAAACCTCTGAGTAACCGAATGAAGACACGCAGCCTGAAGGCTGCGAGTAACCCAAGTGTAAACAAAAAGAAACTTCGTAGTTATTTCCTTTCCTGTTTTATGCTGATTTATTTTCCTGTGCCAAATATTTTGTTCTGAGCTCTGTTGTGGTTTTATTTTTTTTTCCTCCTATCATTTGATGAGACTTCTTGGCTTCTTCCCACCTGGGCACACTGCTGGCACCTGTTCAGCTGCTGCTGACCACCACCCCAGGTCCTTTCTTTCCGTGCAGCTCTCAGCTCTGCTCCACACCCACAGCAATGCATGGGGTTGTGAGTGGGGTGCAGGACCTGGCCCTTGGTCTGCTTGGAGTTCGTACAATGGGCCTTTGAGAAGAAGCCCCACATGGGCCCTACAACAGCAGCTGCCCGCTGCTACCAGAGCCATAGCCATGGCACAGGACAAGGGCTGAGGGCCCTCTCATTCAGTCTGATCCCAAAAATGCTCTACAAAATACATGGGAAGCATGGGACGTGCTAAATCCCGGGTGGGAAGGGTCAGCATCATTCCCCAATCTGCAGTGAGTTTAGTTCACAGGAAATGTAGGTTTCTTCTCTGACAGCTCAATGACAGCAGCATTTGGAAGCTGACGCTGAGCAGAATGGAATGGTGGCTGTTCCCTCTCCCAATGGAACAAGCAGCAAAATCATTCTGGGGCTTTGCATTGACACAAACTAGCATTACATATGCATGGCATGGTTTAATTTAGCTCCTTGCTTGTCCATGAGCAATGAAGCAGCCCAATCCCTCGCCTTGCCTGAGCAGATCCAGAGGCTGCCACCCCATCCCAGCAGCCCCCCAGCCCTGCACTGGGGCCACTCAGCCCCACATAGGCCTGTATTAACTTCTCCTTTGGTGCTATAAAAAGCAGAGCAGCCTCAGGTGGCTCCGGCTGCTTCTAACAGCACTCCCCTTACACTCAGCAGTGCTGTAACCATGGAGCCGGCTCACAGCTGATGCAATCTGACGTCTGCATCCTTCCCCAGGAGGAACCCGCAGCTGATGGTGCCCACAGCTTTGCAAAAAGATGCTGTGGAATGGGGGTTGTTGCCGGGGACAGCATCTGTGGGTTGCACTGAGATGTTCCTCCTGCGTGGGGCATCCCGGCGTGGGGCTGCATCCCAGCCTGGATGGTAAGGCTGGGGGCATGAAGGCTGCAGTGAGGTGGTCTCAGGGCCAATGGAACGGTGTTAGACTGCAGTCCCAAAGCCCTTCCTCCACTCTGCGGGGTTTGTTTCTCAGATTTATGATGCTGCTGTTGTGGTAGGGAGAGGAAATGTATCCGGGGAGAGATGCTGCACTGCCTGCTTCCCTTTAGCAGAACTTTCTTGTGATGTGGATTACCATATTACCATTATAGGTGACTAGAGATCGGACTTCCATAGCCCCAGGGGAGGGTCAGGTTGGATATTGGGAAGCATTTGTTCTCCAAATGCTGTTGGAACAGCTGCCCAAGGAGCAGTGGGGTCACTGTCCCCAGAAGTGTCCAGAACTGCGGGGATGTGGCACGGAGGGATGTGGGCATGGTGGGGTTGGGTTGGGGATCTCAGAGCTCTTTTCCAACCTGAATGGTCCTGTGATTCTCAGACCTGGAGGAGGTCTCTCCCATCCCCTCCCATTCCACCACATGTCTGCAGGGCAGAATCCAGGGGCCCATTGCAACTCCTGCTGTGTGTTGGGGGAGAGCCTGAGCACAGGGGTGGTGGGCTGTCAGTCGGGCATCTTAAAGGTCTTCCCCAACCCTAACATCAATTCTGTGATGTCTGAGTGTTTGCAGTATTTAAAAACAGAAACTCTTTCCTTCAAGAGATGGAGGGCCGGTGCGTGCAGCAGCATTGTGTTGTGCACAGAGCTGGGCTGAGAACAGGAGATGTTATCACTGCCGACTCAGGGACCCCATTGTCAGCAGGGGACGTTAAATTTAGCAGCACTGGGAAATGACACAGTGAGTCAGCGGTGGAGGGGAAGCAGAAAGAATGAGGCATGCAGAGAGCTGTGTGTCCTGGGAAAGCAATGGGATTAAGTCGTCCCCCGTACTGTTGTTGTTATTATTTCCTCTCTGAAACTTCAGGATGGGGTAACGCCGTGATGATTAACCTGTGGGTGATCGGAACCAGCAAACTCAAGGCAGTGTGCATTCTAAAAGAGGAGTGCTGGCACTGGGATCTGTCACTGTGGGGTTGCTGAGGGTATTCCTCTGCCACTCTGCAGAGCTGTGTCACACTGAGGAGCAGTGCTCCTGTTGATGTGCTGCATTGGCCTGACGGGACACAAACCCCATAGCCTGAAGGATCCCCTGCATGGTCCCCGAGCTTGTGGCTGGGGAGATAAGGGCTGTGCACCCTGGGCTGCGGCCCTTTGAGTGCATGGGGTGGGCGACGGGGGCCAGGCTGTGGATAAAATACCATTTGGGTTCTGTTGGTTACTTCCTAGGAACTTATTTTGCACCCGAAAAAGCTCTTAGAGCCCAGGAGCAGCTCTCTGGGGAAGCTGATATTGGAGGCGAGCCTCGCTTTGCAATCACTCTCGGAGGTTGTGGCTCTGACATCAGACACCGGGATTTTTCCTGCCCTTGTGCAGCACTTGGGGCTATTTTTACCCGGCGCTGCCAGTGGCTGCAGGAAGCCCTCAGCTTTCCTCTCCCGGTCCCGCTCTGCTGCCTGCCCACAGCTTTGACTTTATTAGGGCAAGGCCTGCGCCCGCGGGGAGCAGCGAGCGGCGATCCCGGTGCCACGGCCGAGGCGAGCGGAGATGTGCCCACGGGGAGCAGCCGGGGAACGGGGCCATGAGCGGGGCTGGTGATGGAATGGGTGACATCATCGGGCAGGCATCCGCGCGGGATGTGGAGGGGAATTATAAAAAGGTAGGAGACAAAAAGGGGCCTTTTGTTGGCGTGCTCTGCATGGATGGGCACTGCCAGGCGGCGGGCACGGGGCTGCAGAGAGGGCATATCTACACAGAACTCCGTGCACGGGGCTGTGTGCGTGGGGCTGCACGCTCAGTGCTGCATACGTAGAACTCTGCGCATGGAGCTCAGGCTTGGGGCTGCACAATGGGGCTGTACTGTACACATGGGGCTGCATGCATGGCCACTTGGCAGCCCAAAGAGCACAGCGCTGGATGCTCGTGCCCCACTGCTGCCTTTAAGCACGGATGCCATCTCCCTGGTGTGATGTGGCAGAACTGTCCCTTCTGCGTGTCCTCGTCATAGCTTCTCCCCACAGGCCGTTCCTAGACACCTCCTCAGACCAGGAGAGCTGGCATTTGCAGGACTCTGTGCCACATGGCTTGAGAGAACATGAACATTTTGTGTTTCTCTAGCAAATCTGGCCGTACAAAAACAAGCGTTGCATAATTATAATTTCTGCTGGCGAATCCAATCATAGCCTTTGTACTGCACAGAGATAAAAAAGGGCGCTGTGTACGGGTCTGGGACTTTAAATATAGTAATTGTCCATGGCTGGTAATGACAGTCCCTGGCAAAAATAGCCTCCATGGTGTGTCTGCAGGGACCAGGCAGCTCCACGGCAGTGGGGTGATGGCCCCTGATGGCCCCCATAGGCTTTAACCCCTCGGCTGGATGGAAGCAGCACTGCCCTCCAGGCATTCATTCACCTGCAATCCTAGGACAAGAGGTAATGGCCTTAAGTTGCACCAGTTGGATATTAGGAAAAAATTCTTCTCTATGAGTAGTCAGGAACTGGCACAGCTGCCCAGGGAGTGGTGGGGTCACCATCCCTTATGGGGTGTTCAGAGCCGTGGGGATGTGGCCCTGAGGGCAGTGGGTGGTGGGATGGGCTGCAATTGGGTTGGGGATCTCAGAGGTCTTTCCCAAACCTAATGGTTCTGTGAGTTTGTTGTGCTGTACCCTCCCAAGCACTCTGGGCAGCTCACAGACCAGCCATGCTGGCTGCTCAGCCCTTGCTATCGATCAGCAGAGCTCCAGAAATGTCGTTGTCGTCCGCTCTTAATGGAGGGCTGTTAATGGTGGATGGTTCCAAAGTGCAACGCGGAGCCTGGGAGATTGCTGCGGCACCTGAGTTGCAGATAAATATTTGATGTGCACTTTTATTTGCTCTTTTGGGTGATGTCTGTAATGCATAACAGCTGCTAATACCGCGTCCTGCATGCAGAGTTGGTGAGTGGAGCAGCCCAGTTCTTAATTCTCAAGTGACACCAATAATACAGGTGATGCGCTGGGGGCTTTTCTCATTTCTCAGAAATCAGCAGAAATCTCGTGGTTCCCATCCCTGCACAGGTCCTAAGGGACAGCCTGACGGATGGGGATTGCGTGGAGATGAAGTGTCAGTGGGGCAAATTAGGGCTGTTGGCCAAAGATGGGCTTTTGGTGGTAAACCAGTGTGCCTTGTGGATGGCAAGTGTGTGTACAGACCAAGTATTGAACAAGTCCGTGCTCACCCAGTGTTGTGTATGTGCAGAAGGAAATAGATGACAAAATAGGTCAGTAGGAGATAAAGTGGGTCAGGCAGCAATGTGGGCACTGCTGCCAGTGGTGTGAACAGCCAGTGGGCCAAGCAGGCCTGACCATAGAATCAGGATGGCCAAGAAAGGGCCCACACAGCATGGGGATCCCAAGCTTGTGTCCTCCAAACAAGAGTCCCAGAGCACTGCCCTTTCTAACACATGCATAAATCTTCATCAATTCACAACTTTTCAGTTTTTTTTTTTTTTCTTACCAGAAATTTCTTTTTCCTGTTTATCAACCCAATCATTTTTTTAATTATTCTGTTGGGTTTTTTTAACCCCCTGAGAATGCTCGCTGCCCAGTTGATGCCGGGGCAGAGCTGAGGGACGCGATGTCAAAACAGACATTTAAATATAACATGGTTTTACATTTTCCTTGCTAGTGCCTTTATGTTTTATTCGATGCATTATTTTTTTACATACAGAGCGAGTTTATTTGATAGTCAGAGAAACCACATGCAATTTTCCTTCTCAATTTCCAGTTTTCAGTGCCCGGCTCGGGATGCATTGAGCAGCTGGTGGGTAATTTATCTACAGCATAAAGTCTGGTTCCCTTAGGTATATTCTATTTCTTAGTAACTGTTCCCTATTTTATCATAACAAATAGGACTCTCCGTTTCTTTACGGTCATTATGCCTTGTCTGTTCTATAAGATGGGATATGCTGAGCTCAGGACTGGGAATAGCATTATTTCGTATCCCTGTAATGGCCTGGTGGAGCAGACAAATGGCACATTGATTAAATGGACAGATGTCAGACTGGGAGCAGCTGCAGCCACAGTGGGACGTGGAGCAAAATTATAACGGGTGTGGAGAGAGCTCCATCTATAAGGGAAAACACGCGGGAGCAGTCTGCGTTCATATGTGTTTTAATGTGATTTTCAGCATGTATTGGAGGTAGGGCTGGTGTGGAGAGAATGCATGGCCCCATCCTGCAGCCCCTGGCTTCTGGAGGGAGATGGGAATGTCTGGGCACGGAGATGGGATGGAAGGGGTCCTTTGGGTGGGAAGAGGAGCATCCATGATTTCGTGAAATACGAAGGTGCTGTGGGGATGTGCCCATCTGGTGCTTGGAGGCAGCTGAGCTCGGAGGTCAGCCCTTGGCAGAGAGGGGCCCCATCCATGGAGGTGCTGGAGGCCAAGCTGGATAGAACCATGGGCAGCTTGATCCTCCCCACAGCACGGAGGTTGGAACTGGGTGATGTTGGAGGTCCGTTCCAACCCAACTATTCCACAATTCTGTGATTTTTTTCTGAAAGAGGGAAGGTGCACCATGGACATTTACTGGTGTTTCTTCCATCTCATCCACTCACCACGTGCCCAGTGTGGCAGCAGTGCCCAGGGGTGCAGTGGGTGGCAAAAAATTCTGTTTTTCTTAGGTTTTGTGTCTCTGCTTCGTCTCATTTTGGCCTGCTCTTCAAAATAGTGGCTCCTTTCCTGCATTCCCAAAGGGGTGGTGTGCAACCAGCCCCAGGAGCGTTGTCAGTAAATAATATGGAAAAAGAAAACAGGGAACAACTTGAAAATTCAATACCCCTTGATGCTCTGGGCGTTGTTTTCAATGCTCTGAATTATTTGTAGCGGTGGCAAAGGAGTTAGATTACAAATAAAGTACGTATTTTGGTAAGAGATTGACAACATAATGGGCAGTGTGATGCTGTAATGTGGGTTGTCAACACTGGGGTTAGATTAAATGATTAGCTATTTTACGTTAATAATTTACATTTCATTATATGTCACTTCCCTCTGTCAGATAAAGGTGCGTTGTTCAGGCAGAATTTGAGGCACTGGGTTATGTTAGTGCTGTGGATGCTGCCTGGTACGTTTTCTTTTGCTGCATACTCCTGATCAGCTGTTACATCTTACTTTAAAATGAAATTTTTGAGGGCTTCCAAATGTTTCTCCTGTCCTTAATTTGCCCTCTTTTCATCCATTGCCGACGGACACCGGTGCAGTACTGCTGTTAATTTGGGGTACAGATCTGTGATTGTCATTTCTTGCACGCTGACTGCGCAGCCATGGATCGGTGATCCGTTTCAATCCATCCCATGGCCTAACCTTACTCAAAAAACGCCTCTATATGAGTGCATTGTTAAAACCTTGGTAATTTGATGGCACCTCTCCTGCATTCCTTCCCCTGCAGGCTCAGAAGAATGAGCGTGAGTCCATCAGGCAGAAGTTGGCTCTTGGCAGCTTCTTTGACGATGGCCCAGGGCTCTACACCAGCTGCAGTAAGAGTGGCAAGCCCAGCCTGTCCTCCAGGTATGCAGGGCTGCGGGGTGGGTGGAGGCTGGGCTGCTTGGTGGGGTTGGCCAAGAAGCTGTGTGTCTGAATTCCTGTTGAAATGTGCACGTCCAAAGCAGGAGAGAGCTTGGTCTTATTGCTGGGTTAGCGTGGTGAATGACGGGACCCAGGAGAACCTCATGAGGTTCAACAAAGCCAAGTGCCTTGGGAACAGCCTGCCCAGAGGGGTGGGTGCCCCATCCCTGCAGGCACCCACAGAGAGGGCTGGGCTCTGAGCACTGATGGAGTTTGGGTGTCCCTGTGCATTGCGGGCAGTGGGACCGATGGCCTTCAGAGTTCCCTTGCAACTCAAACTGTTCTGTGATCCTATGAAAGCTGGTTAAAAACAGAACTATTGGTTTGTGAAAGAGCATCTTCCTTCGGTGGTTCAAGAGGTGGGCGTCTGTTTCATACTGGTCACCAGTTGGCTTTGGACACCTACTTGTGTGACCTGGTGTAGGGAAGCTGCTTTGACAGGGGGGTTGGACTCTATGATCTCTGGAGGTCCCTTCCAACCCCTACGATTCTGTGATTCTGTTGGTTGCATGTTTCATACTGGTCGCCAGTTGGGCACTGAGCAGCCAGGATGGATCCACAGCACCTGGGCAGCTTGAGAGCCTTCTGTGCTGTGGGCAGATGTGGGGCAGGGAGGGAAAAACCTGGGAGAGACATAAAACCAGGGGGAATCCTACTAGGGCAACATGGAGGTGAGACTGTAAAATGCAGCTGAACCACAGTGCATCTGAAGAGGAAAGTTGAGCTCTGTGTGGTTACAGCTCAAGTGATAACTGCTGTTGTGTAATTACAGGGCAGGATTAATTAACATCCTGCAGCAGGGCTGGGCAGCCATACCACAAGAAAACACCAGAAGTACCTGGATGCTGCAGCATTTTGTTTGTATTTATATTCCAGGCAGAGCACTGGTATGCACTGCATGGGTCAGGACATCCAGGAGAGGCTGACAGTCCCCAGTGCTCCACCACAGTGCTCCCAGTCCTTGTCCCAGTGTCCTGAGGGCGAGCACAGGATGCTTCCTTGTGCTGTTGCATCCTTGTTTTGCAGCAGAGCACACTGCATATTGAGTCAGGGGTTCCATGCACATCACACGGGGCCATGGAGGAGGCAGTGGGAGAGCTGGGCTGCTGCAGCCCATGCTGGCTGTCACTGTGAGCAGCTAGTGCTTGCTCGCAGGGAAGGGCTCCACATCCAGCTGTGTCCCACAGGATGTTTCCTGGATTCCTTTTGAGGCCGGTTGCTGCTTCACAGCTGTGCACCATTTTAATCCAGGATTTTTACAATGCAGTCAGCATCCTCCGTTTCAAATACTCTGCTGCTCCCAGAGGTGCCTCATCTGCCTCTCTGTTAGGATGAGCATGGGTCAGGCATTTCGGTCATGCTCTTGAAATGCAGGTGTCCCACAGACCCTGATTTGCACTTACTCTTCCCTTTCTGCATAATGCAGTTTGAAGCCAAGCCAAAAGCTGTGTCCTGCTCCCAAACCTGGGCACCGTGTTCACTCAGCCTGGCTCAAAAGCTCATGTGTTAATGCTATCTGTTGTATAGCAATAATGAATTTAAAAAAATACCACTAAAATAAATGGAAAGTTTGCTGTGAGGACCAATAAAAGCCCCCCTATTACAGAGCTTGTGTATGGGCCTCCCCCAGCATGGACACATGGTGATGGTACACAGGAAAGGCAACAGAGCTGCCCCCAAAGGATCATTTGGAACTTGAATGTAGAAAAAGGAGTGCAGTGTGAGAGGCAAGCAGCCCTGTTGCAAACCTGCATCACGCCATGCTCAGGGCTGCGCTGCTTCTCTTCCTCATTGCACGCTGGGATTTAGCATGGACAGCACGTGGTGGAGCAAAAGCTGGGCAGGGCTCTGCTGGAGGAGTGCCCATGAGATGCCGTAGTGCCACAAGCAGCCCTGGGACAGCCCTCAGTAAATCCTTTTGGTCAGCACACGGTGTTTCATGGCCACGATGACGAAGCTCTGCAGTATTGTGGGTATTTCTGCAGTTCAGCAGTAGATGGTGCTAGAGGCACTGTCATTGTGGAGCTGATGAGTTTTCAATCTGAGCTGTCACTTTGTAATGCTGTGTGGGAATTGTCACCTCCCACCCAGGCACTGGGTGCTGCTGCCAGCGGGGCCAATGGGGCCAAGCAGAGAGTTGTACATCACAGATCTACCATTGCATACGGCCCGTCCCCATCCCCACTGTCACCTCTCCTCCCTGCAGACTCCAGAGCGGGATGAACCTGCAGATCTGTTTTGTGAACGACAGTGGCAGTGATAAGGACAGCGATGCTGATGACAGCAAGACAGAAACCAGCCTGGACACACCTTTGTCACCCATGGTAGGTCTGGTGGCTCATCTCCCAAAGCACATAGAGAGAACTGTTGGGGCACTGAAGCCCAGAGCAGCTGGCACGTTGCTATTACAGGACAGACCTGCTGCAGAGGGGTGGATGCACTCAAGGGACAGTGCCCTTCTCCTGCCCTTCCTTTCTCTGTGCTCTGTCAGGGCAATAATGGGTGCAGAGTGGTGTCAGCTCCCATCAGCTCTGCACTCCTCTGTTCCTTCATGGATACAACACAGAGGCCCCAGACCCGTGGTGGGCTTTTCTCCAGCTTAACCAGCTTGTCCATTAGGCACTTATCGATCTGTTTGGCTCCATCTAAAGTGCTCAAGTGGCTGTTAATACTCAGCAGAGCCAATCAAGAAATCAGTTTGATTTAAAAAAAAAAAAAAAAAAAAAGCCACCCAACCCTGTAATCTTCACCTTGCCTATAGAAATGAATCCCTCTGTGTGCATACGGAGGATGTGAAGCTGCAGGTCAGCTCCTTTGCTCTGTCCCCGCGGCTGTAACGGTGCGTGTCTGCTTCCCTAGAGCAAGCAGAGCTCTTCCTACTCCGACAGAGACACGACCGAGGAGGAGTCCGAGTCCCTCGATGACATGGATTTTCTCACCAGGCAAAAGAAACTCCAAGCTGAAGCCAAAATGGCCTTGGCTATGGCAAAGCCCATGGCCAAAATGCAGGTGGAGGTGGAGAAGCAGAACAGGAAGAAATCTCCGGTGGCAGATCTGGTGAGTGCAGGCTGATGCAATGGTCCTTCATCCCTCTGCCTTGGGTGCTATGGGAGCAGGAAAGGAGAGGGGGAAGCATGAAGCTCAGTGCTGTGTTAAGACCTCCCAGCTGAGGCTGAAGGCCTGCACTGAGTATTGGCCAGATGCTTTGGTAGTCTCATTGTAGCCAAAAATGGGTGTTTGCAGGGAGGGATGTGTGTGGGTCAAACTGGTGCTGTGCAGAAATATGAGTAATTCAGAGAAAAAGAATTAAACAGAAGAAAATTCATTTCCAGCTGCCACATATGCCTCATATAAGCGAATGCCTGATGAAAAGGAACTTAAAACCTGCTGACCTAAGAGACATGACTATTGGGCAGCTACAAGTGATAGTCAATGATCTCCACTCACAGATAGAAAGTAAGTGGTCTTTGTTTACTTATTCTTTAGTAAGCACCATCTACTTCAGGATATATGTAAAAATGGTGGTAAATGTACAGTAAAGGAACCATACAGGAGAGCTGCTGGAGGTGGGCTGTTTGCTAGGTCTGGCTCCTTTGGCTTTTTGCTTTCTTTTTGTCCGTCAGGCATTCAGAGGGCTCCGTAAGGTAGCATTGCTTCAGCCTCTAAAAGTAGCCAGAAATACTGCCAGTTTTGTGGCTTCATGCAGCCTTATGGCTGTGTTTTGATATGATGCGGTGCATGGCCTCAGTAGCATCCACAAGTGGAGAAGCCCTCTGGTCCAGTGGACACCTCTGAGTACATATGTTCTGTCTTGCAGCACATTACCGTGGCTCACGTGTCCTTGCGTTTGCCCCCTTGTCTGTCTTTGCTCTCTCCAAAGGATCCAGGGTTATTCCCTAGCATCTCCACCTTCCCTTATCAATGATTAATTAATCTTAAAGGAAATGTCTCAGGTGGCTGTAGGACAACAATAGCCCCAGCACGTTCATTGGGCTGCTCTGCAACTCTGTAACTGCTCGCGTTCGTTAATTACCGTCCCTCCTGGCAGCTCCTGCTAGGGATGTGGAGCTGCTCATGCCTGTGGCTGAAGCACTGCAAAATTCCTCTCCTTGCAAACCTCCCCCTGCTCAGCGCGAACTCTCCTCCTCTCTCCCCGGCCCCAGGCTTGAACGAGGAGCTGGTGCAGCTGCTGCTCATCCGGGATGAGCTGCACACGGAGCAGGATGCGATGCTGGTGGACATTGAGGACCTGACCAGGTGAGAGAGGGGTCCGTGGGCCATTTGCCCCCACTGTCAGCCTTTGGAAGCCACCAAGCCAGCAGGAAAACGGGCATTGCTATGGCTGTGTCCATGCAGCAGCCCTATGGCTTTACCCCCATTGGTGGCAGGAGGTGATGGGGACTGCCACCACCATGGTGAGATGCAGGTAGCACAGGAGGTCGGTGGGATTGGGGTGTGGGTGACCTAAATCCCACAAGAATAGGATCTGGGGGGGGACGTGAGCTTGCAGAGTGCCACTACCCCACCTCCATGCTTCTGCCAACACATAACCAGGCTTCTCCTTCCCAGACATGCCGAGAGCCAGCAGAAGCACATGGCAGAGAAGATGCCAGCAAAGTAACCCCAGAGTCTGTGGCAGCAGAGATGGAGCTCGCCTGTCCCTCGCTTCTGTGTCTGTACACGTGCTGATGTCCTCAGTGGCGCGCAGCAAATCAGTGTTAGTCCTTGGTTGTGTCCGAAGCTTTATGTCCGGTGATTGGCCTCTGCTTCTTAATTTATTTTAATTATTTTTTTCTTTTTTTTACTCGTGCCACTCAATATCAGGCGTTTTAATAATATTATTACAGAAAAAATGTACAGTACTTATAACATTATAAAACATGGCTGAGGAGAGAGGGCAGTTTAACTTTATTTTTGTTTGCTTAGAGGTTTTACGTTGGACAATATTTTACCATTGACTACTTTTTTATTCTTCACTGTAGTTTTAAATAAAGAGACTGTACTTGACGGTGCTATACAAGTCCAAAAGACATGCCTGCCTCGTAGTGACGTCGTAACCTTCGGTAATATGTACATTTTAATCAGTTTTCAACATTTTGTGAATGTTGACTACCTGACGTTCATTTTTAGATGTGCTATTAACATTCAGTTGGGTTCAAAGAGTTACCTGGAAAGTTTTATGTATAAAGATGTAAAATAAACATTTAAAAACTTGTTTCATATGACACGTCTTTTTGTTGGCCAGTGGTTGACTCGGTGATGTACTCAGCCAACTCAGTGTGCAGTGCCTCCTTTGTCATCACCAAAAAGAGCCAAGCACATGCAGTTGTGCAGAGAAGACAGGATTGTTGTAGAGCTATTTATCTGTAAGCTCATCATGTATGTATGACATGGACTTAAGCTATTCTGCTATACTGGCATTCAGCAGGCCCTAATATTGTGACTATCGTTAGGCCCAGGCACACACAGTAGATGTTCCTATATTTTATTATCCATGCTGAATATCTCAATGACTCACCCGTGTCAGAAATTGAGAAAAAGAAAAATCTATGTTAAAAATCTTCAGCAGCATATGAAATGTATGCAATATGGCAACAGCTCCCCCCTGCCTTGGGGTTGTGCCCTGCTCTGTGGGCATTGTGTCCCTGCTCTGCTCTGCTCCCAGGAATGGGGACCTTTGCCTTCCACATTTTCATTCCCCCCCACCCCATGACAAATTCCCCTTAGCAAAGCACTCAGCTGACGACTTTTAGGGTGTCTGCAGCAAAGCATGAAACGCATCCAAATTCCATCCCCCCACCACAAATGTATTTTATTAAAATGACACTTACTTATTGTTGTTCTTCCCCTCCTTCTCCCGAAGCAGGCCAGGTGCTGAAAGCTCCCTTGGCATTTCGCAGCATTTTGGGGCACTTTGGGGCCATTTTGCCACGTTGTGCTGCTCCACTAGCAAAGGCTGGCTCAGGTGGGAGTGCCTTGTGCTTGCCTGCAATGGAAACTCCTCTTATTTAATTTGCTTTTTTTGGAATCTATGCAGAAAATATATATATAAATATATATAATAGTGGGGGTGTTCACTTGTCAGTATCTCCTGTTGTCTTGCTGCTGTGACCTGCATGCAGCCATTGCTAGCTGCTACTGTTGAATTCCTGCTCTGTGCTTTCACCTGTGAGGCCAACCCCCCCCATGGGGTGCAGATGGGGGGGCTCAGCCTGAAGCCCCACTGCAGAGCTGCTCAGCAGGAGGGGTGGGCTGCTCTGCTCAATGATAAGTGCCTTTAATTCTCTGGAGGGAGCAGGCCTGTAGGCACCCAGCACCAGGACAGCCAGTGGAGTGTCCATCTTCAAGGGTTTGGTTTTTAACTAAAAAATAAGTTAAAGTAATTTAAAAACTATATATAGTATTGCTGGGTAACTGCATCTTAGATCTCTGTCCAGTGTACTGCAGTGTCATGCAGGTGTGTACGATGGCAATGCTGTGGAATGAATGGATTAAATGATGTTTTTGAAAGAAATGTGCCTCGTGTGGTTTCTGAACTGGGTCCTCTCACAGTGCCTGGCCCTGGCACCAAGATCATGCCAATGTTTGGGGGATGTGCCCCATCCTTGGGAAGCCGGGGGATAGAAGGCATTGCCTCAGTCAGCACATCATGGCACCTCCACACTGACGTGTGCCTACAAGCAGCCCTTGAAGCAGACAGCTTTACTTTGGGCTGAAACACAGAGATGCTCAGTGAGGCTGAGCTGATGAGGCTTAAACACCCTGGAGGTGTTCAAGGCCAGGTTGGATGGGGCAGCCTAGTCTAGTATTAGATCTGGATGTTGGTGGCCCTGCCTGTGGCAGGGGGATTGGACCTTGATGATCCTTGAGGTCCCTCCCATCCCAAGACCGTTCTGTCCCCCAGAGCTATCCCACTCTTTTGGCCTTGGGGGCAGTGGCTGCTCCTGGCACCTGGGGACTTTTGTGGAGCACAGGGGCTCCGGGGGATGTTTTGCTTTTTATTCTGCCTTAGCTTTTATTTTTGATGCTTTCCTTCTGTGAATGGATCGTTTACATGGTTCCACTTAGGACTCCCATTATCAGTACCGTAACCGTAGAGCCAAATTTCCCAAAAGCTCTGGGTCAGACAGTTTCATTTCATGGGCTGACATCAGTACAAGCAGTCAGAGGCAGTTTCTGTTCTGAGAGCAGCATCACCCACCAGGATACAGGCAGCCAACAGCCCACCCGAACGTGCCCAAAACAGCTCATAGGGACACCCAGAATGGCACAGACCCCAGCTCCAGCAGGAGAAATAAAATGGAGTTCTGGAGATAAGCCACTTAGGCAATTTGTTAAATTCCATGTGCATGGAAACAGGCAGATGCTGCGTGGCTGCCATTTGTTTCTGTCCTGTGAGTGTCTCTGTGCCAACCCTGTGCTCCCTTGGGCATCAAGCAGCTTGGATTGGGAAACAGTTTCAGAGCCTGCTTTGTAGTTAGCAATATACATAGGATCATAGGATAGACCCATAGAATGCCTTGGGGTCAAAGGGACCTTAAAAATCAGCTGTTTCCAACATCCTTCTACGGGCTGGGTGCTCCCCCAGCTTAGGCTGCCCATCCAGCCCAGCCCTGAGCACCCTGGGGATGGGACACCCCCAGCACTGCCATGGTAGGTTGTTGTGGGATTTTTTTGTTTGTTTGTCTTTAATGCTAATGTAATTGTTGTGCAGATAAGGACCTACCCCTGTCCCACCCCTTTCCTGCTCTCCCCTTCAACCTTTCCTCCCCCAACCCTACCAGAAGGAGACAACCTGCTGCCTTTTCCTCCCTTGCCTCTGTCTGGTGTCACAATAAAACTTTGTTTTTTCCTTTTTAATTCCATCTTTTGGACTCGGACTTACCTATGCTTGAAAGCATTCAATGATACACACAATAACAGTAGAAAGAAAAAAAAAACAACACAACCAAATCATGTTTCAGACAGCTGCAGGGATAACTTCCCTGTGAAGATAAAGCAGCCCTTAGGGCAGAGACGTGCTTTGTAAGACAGATGCTTCCTGCCAGGCACATTTTATTGGGTTCCCCTTTTTTCTCCCTTTTCTTTGCATCCCCCAAGCAGCACTTTCTGCACAGCATCTCCCTGAGCGCTGGGGGAACTTGAGGGAGGAAAGCATGGAGAACTGCAGCACAAAACACACACACACCCTTTGGCTTTCGTCCCTCCATTGCTCAAAGGGAAAGGACAGCAGGGTTCAGGAGAGCTATGTGCTGCGGGGTCCCGGGAGGAGCAGCACAGAGGGCATCCCCAAGGAAAAGCCACCGCCTGTGCTTACAGTCGGAGCTCGCTTCCCTGCAGGAGCCCAGAGCAAGGAGTTTCTCTTCCTCCTTATTGTAAAGCAGAGCAAAACCCACGCGTGCGGGACCCCGCTGCCAGGCTGGGAGCTGGGCTCTCTTCTCAGCACTGAGCTGGTTCTGCTGGTTCCTTTGCCAGCTGTGCTGAGCTCACCTCGAGCTCTGCTGTCACCAGCAGCCCTATGGATGGATGGACGGACAGCTGCCACCACGCTCACCTCACCCCTAGCTTCCTAACAGCAGTGCTTTAGGGGAAGGAGCACGTCTTCAGAAGAAAAGTGAAATACACAGCAAGTTTATAAAAAAAGGGAATTGCAGAGTTTCGTGTGGATCAGCCGGGCCTGCAGCAGCAGGCATTTCCAGGCAGCTGCCAGATGTGAGTGTCGGGGCTGCCCCTGGTGCCAGCTCCATCCCATCCCTTTATTCGTGCCCACATTTACCTCTCATAAGGGGATGAGACCTCCCAGGAGCAGTGTGTCTGTGCCCGATGTGTGCAAGGCCACATTTCTGGTGCCTAACCATACGGCTGTGGTTGCCCCTCTCCATGGTTAAAACCATCCCATCTGGCAGTTCAGGGCCACTGAACCTAGGAGAGACAGAGAGAAAGGGATGTGAATGGGAAGGAAAAAAGACACCCAGAGAGGAGAAACTGT